GGCAATGACTAAGGAACTAATTAGTAAGTACACAGACTGGGCACAACAACTCACACCTGTAATCCTAGCACTTTGGGAGATTGGGAGGTCGAGGCAGGCAGCTTGAGCTCAAGAGTTCAAGACCAACCTAGGCAACATGGTGAAACTCCATCTCTACAAAATATACAAAAAATTAGCCAGGTGTGGTGGCATGTGCCTGTAGTCCCAGCTACTTGGGAGGCTGAGGCAGGAGGACTGCTTGAATCTGGGAGGTCAAGGCTGCAGTGAGCCGAGATCAAGCTGCTGCACTCCAGCCTGGTGACAAAGTGAGACCCTATCTCAAAAAAAAAAAAAAAGTACATAAAATCTAGTTTATGCTTTTGTAATTTTTTTTAATTTGCTGTTAAAATGCCAGCCATATGTTTCGCACTATGATCAATGAGTGGCTACTTACATGCATGAGTATGTGGTTAAAAGGTACCAAGAGGTGGGGCTTGGTGGCTCGCACTTACCTCTCAGCACTTTGGGAGGCTGAGGTCAAAGAATTACTTGAAATATTTGAGTTTATATATTATTTTCTATCCCCTCAGGAACAAAAAAGTTAAACTTACCTATGCAACATAAATCTAAAGATTACACAGTCAAGACAGGATTTGAATTATAGACTTGACTCATGCAACCAATATTATAAATTTTAACGATAGGGCCTCCAAAGTAAACTTTTTTTTTTTTTTTTTTTTTTTTTTTGAGATGGAGTCTCGCTCTGTTGCTCAAGTTAGATTGCAATGGCACGATGTGGCTCACAGCAAACTCCACCCCCTGGGTTCAAGTGATTCTCCTGCTTCAGTCTCCGGAGTAGCTGAGATTACAGGTGCTCACCACCATGCCCGGCTAATTTATTTTTAGTAGAGAGGGTATTTCATCATGTTGGCCAGGCTGGTCTCGAACTCCTGACCTCAAGTGATCAACCAGCCTTGGCCTCCCAAAGGGCTGGGATTACAGGCGGGAGCCACCAAGCCCAGCTGGGACTCATTCATCTTTGAAAACTGATTACTTAGCAGAGTACAATCTGGCATATCTGTTTAATGTCAAACAAATTAAATACATACATCTCATCACTCTCCTCAAAATTTTCATTCATGTCCCACTGTCCACAGCAGAAGTTACAAACTCAAATACCCACAGGGACTAGGCAGGAAATGTAAATGAGTAAAGGTGTGTGTAAGATAAAAGGAACTGGTGGGGATTATGGTAAACTGGAGAGCGTATGTCCCATCTAAAGGGGCAGCTTCTTGCTGTTCCCACCAATTGCTACCATAACAGAATGTAGGCCCCATACTGCCAGGTTTTTGATTTTTCAAGGTAAGCTGAAAGCAGATTTCTATGTAAAATCTGCTGATTTTTAAATAACAACCAATTTCACTTAGAATCCCCCAAAAACCCACCATTCAGGCCAAACAAAACACATTCTATGAGCCAAATCCAGCCCTCAAGTCACAAGTTGGTGGCTCTAGTCTACAGGATAAAAGACAAATTCCCTGCCTGACATTCTAAGTTCTTCACAATGAGTTCCCAGCCTACCTTTTAAGAGTTTTTTTGCATACTCATTCCATACAACAATCCTCTGCTCTAGTTTAGGGGTCCTGAAACTTTAGCATGCATCAGAACCACCTGGAGGGTGTGTTAAAACATAGATTGTTGGGCCTCATTGCCAGTATTTCTGATTCAGTAGGTCTGAGGTGGGGCCTGTGAAACTACAGTTCTAATAAGTTACCAGGTGATGCTGATGCTACTAGTGGTCTGTGGACCACACTTTAGGAACCAATGCTCAAGTTAAACTACTCCCTATTTTAAGCATACTCTGAATTGTGCTCACATTGTTCTAACTTCCTAGAGAAATTTCCCTCTCCTTTCAGTCCATCTTCTTCTATAAACTTTCCCTGACTACAACAGTCTTAAATGCCTACAAATTCTATAACACTTAGGGTCTAGGCCATGCTTGGTCAACCCCTAGCCCATGGGCTGCATGCAGCCCAGGACGGCTTTGAATGTAGCCTAACACAAATTTGTAAACTTTCTTAAAACATTATGAAATCTTTTTTGTCATTGTATTTTTTATCTCCTCAGCTATCATTACTGTTAATATATTTTATGTGTGAGCCAAAACAATTCTTCTTCTTCCAGTGTAGCCCAAGGAAGCCAAAAGATTGGATACTCTTGGTCTACGCCATCTGTTCTTTATCAGTCGCTGTTTGGTACTGTTTAGTGTGTGTTTGTGTATGGGTGACTATGAGGCTGTATATTCTCAGAGATCAACATCCAGGTCAGAACTTTATACATCTGACTGTAAACAACTTGAGGGCAAGGGCCTTCTCTTGTTCCTTACTGTTCCCATCAAGTCATCAGACAGGCCGGTATACATTTATACATTTGGTATTTATTGAATGTTTCTTAAATGAATGAACGTTTGACAGATTCATGACATGAAAATGCAGACAAGCGGGCCAAAAGGTGGGTAATTTTTGCTTTTTTTAATAAAGAAAATAGAGATAGGGTCTTGTTATGTTGTTATGTGGTCCAGGCTGGTCTCAAAATCCTGGGTTCAAGCAATCCTCCTGCCTCAGCCTCTCAGTGCTAGGATTACAGGTATGAGTCACTGTGCCCAGCCCAGGTAAGTTTTCTTAGAGAACTTTTAGTCTGTGGCTCTGTTGGGATGGACAACTAATAAAAATGGGATATTTTGCAAATAAAGTACCAATAGTTAATAATTATTTGTAGGCACAGTGGTACATGCCTGTAGTCCCAGCTACTTGGGAAGCTGAGGTAGGAAGAGCTCAGGAGTTTAAGTTCAGCCTGGCAACCTAACAAAACCCCATCTCAAAAACATATGGCCAAGTATGGTGGCTCACAACTATAATCCCAGCACTTTGGGAGGCTGAGGTAGGAAAACCACTTGAGCCTAGGAGCAACATAGTAAGACCCAGTCTTCATACACACACACACACACACACACACACACACACACACACACACACACGCGCGCGCAAAAAAAAAGTTAGGTGGGCATGGTGGCATGAGCCTGTGGTCCTAGTTACTCAGGAGATTGAGGTGGGAGGATTGCCAGAAGGTTGAGGCTGTAGTGAGTCACAATTGCACCACTGCACTCCAGCCTGGGTGACATAGTGAGACCCTGTCGTTCATTCACAAATACATTAAATCAATAAATAATTATCTGCGGAAATAGATCTTATAAGTAAAACAGTGAATTTGTTTTAATTTTTTTTTGAAATTGAGTCTTGCTGTGTCACCTAGGCTGGAGTACAGTGACACGACATTGGCCCACTGCAACCTCTGCCTCCTGGGTTCAAGCGATTCTCCTGCCTCAGCTGCCCGAGTAGCCGGGACAAGAGACAGCTGCCACCACATCCAGCTAATTTTTCTATTTTCAGTAGAGACGGGGTTTCACCATATTGGTCAGGCTAGTCTTGAACTCTTGACCTTGTGATCCACCCACCTCGACCTCCTAAAGCACTAAGATTATACGCATGAGCCACCGCGCCCTGCCTAAATTTCAAAAAATTTATCAGGCCGGGCGCGGTGGCTCAAGCCTGTAATCCCAGCACTTTGGGAGGCCGAGGCGGGTGGATCACCAGGTCAAGAGATCGAGACCATCCTGGCAACATGGTGAAACCCCGTCTCTACTAAAACTACAAAAAATTAGCTGGGCATGGTGGTGCGCGCCTGTAATCCCAGCTACTCAGGAGGCTGAGGCGGGAGAATTGCCTGAACCCAGGAGG